TGCCCGGCTAATTTTTTTTATATATATATCAGTTGGCCAATTAATTTCTTTCTATTTATAGTAGAGACAGGGTCTCGCTCTTGCTCAGGCTGGTTTTGAACTCCTGACCTTGAGCAATCCGCCTGCCTCGGCCTCCCAAGAGCTAGGATTACAGGCGTGAGCCACCGCGCCCGGCTACCCTGCATTTTTAATGCTTGTCAATTTGTATATCTCCCTTGGAGAAATGTTCATTCAAATCCTTTGCCCAGTTTTTAATTGGGTTGTCTTATTATTGAGTGTTAAGAATTCTTTATATATTCTGGGTATAAGTCCCTTATCAGATACATGATTTGTAAATTCTTCTATTTTTTTCACTTTCTTGGTGGTGTCTTTTGAAGCCCAAATATTTTTAATTTTGATTAAGTCTAATTCATCATGCTATTGGTGGATCATGCTTTTGATATCATGTCTAAGAACTCTCTTTAAATACTCAGGTCCTGAGGATTGTTTCTTTTCTTCTAAAAGTTTTATAATTTTATGTTTTATATTTAGATCTGTGACCCATTTTAAGTTAATTTTTGTATAAGCTAAGAAGGTTAGGTGGAGATTTATTTTGCATGTGGATATCCAATTGTTTTAAAATCATTTATTGAGAAGGCTATTCATTCCTTATTGAATTGTCTTTATACCTTTGTCAAAAATGAATTGCTAGTTATGCGGATCTGTTTTTGAACTCTATTCCATTGATCTACATATGTCTGTCCTTTTGCCAACACCATACTGCCTTGATTATCGTAGCGTTATAGTAGGTCTTGAACTGGATAGCATAATTCCTTCAACTTTATTCTTTTTCAGAGTTGTTTTGGCTATTATAGTTTCTTTGTCTTTCCATATAGAGTTTAGAATCAGCTACTTGATATCTACAAAAATCATGCTGGGGTTTTGAATGGAATTTTGTGAGTTTCACTATCCATGAACATGGGTCTTTAGGACCTCTTTCATTTCAGTTATCAGTATTTTGTGTAGTTTTCACTCTACAGATCCTTTACATCTTTTATTAGGTTTATTCCTAAGTATTCATTTTTGGAGCTATAGTAAATAGTATTTTGTTTTTGAAATTTGGGTTTCCAATTGTATATTGGTAGTGTATACAAATATGTTTTGATTTTTGTTTTGTTGACTTTGTATCCTGTGACCTTGCTAAATGTAATTAGTAGTTTTGGGAGTTTTTTTGATGTTGATTTCTTGAGTTTTCTTTCTTTTTTTTTTTTTTTTTTTTGAGACAGAGTGTCACTTTGCTGCCCAGGCTAGAGTGCTGTGGCGTCAGCCTAGCTCACAGCAACCTCAAACTAACTCCTGGGCTCAATCAATCCTTCTGCCTCAGCCTCCCAAGTAGCTGGGACTATAGGCATGTGCCACCATGCCTGGCTAATTTCTTCTATATATTTTTAGTTGGCCAATTAATTTCTTTCTATTTTTAGTAGAGATGGGTCTTGCTCTTGCTCAGGCTGGTTTCGAACTCCTGACCTTGAGCGATCCTCCTGCCTTGGCCTTCCAGAGTGCTAGGATTACAGGCATGAGCTACCTCGCCCGGCCAATTCCTTGAGTTTTCTACATAAACTACAAATAGGAAGAGTTTTATTTTTTTTTTTATTTTTTTTTTTTTCTTAGGCAATTACAAGATGAGGAAGAGTTTTATTTTATCCTTTCTAATCTCTAGGCCTTTTATTTCTTTATCTTGCCTGATTGCATTGGTTAGAACAATAAAGTGGAGCAAGTGGCTATCCCTGTCTTGTTTTGGATATTAGAGTTTTGAAAGCATTGTTTTTCACCATTAAGTATTATGTTAGCTGTAAGTTTTTCATGAATGTCCTTTATCAGTTTGAGGGAGTTCCTATCTATTATTTTGTAGCTAGCAGAATTTCTCTTGAGTGGATGTTGAATTTTCTCAAATGCTTTTTCTATATCAATTGATTTGATTTTTTTTTCTTTAAACTGGTAATTATATTGGCTTGTATTGATTTCAGAATTTTAAAACAGCTTGTATTTTCCCCCTGATCCCAAACTTGCCATGGTATATATTACTGAATTTAAATATTTAGATTCATTTATAGAGGATTTTTGTGTCTATGTTCATTTGGGATATTGTTCAAGGTTTCCTCCTGCTTATATTATCTTTATCTTGATTGGTTATCATGTTAATTCTGGCCTTATGAAATGAACTGGGAAGTGATTCCTCAGTTTTCTAGAATAGATTTGTAGGATTTGTGTTAATTCTTCTTAAATGTTTTATGAATTTTCCAGTAGGGTCTTAAACAATACAGTTTTTAAAAATAATTATAGAATTTATTCACATTATATAGTTTTGTTAGTTCATGACTTTTAAGGAATTCTTTCATTCCATTTAACTGTGCATAGCTTTTCATGGTATTGTCTTAGGGTCTTTTTAGTGTCTTCAAGATTTGCATTGGTATCTCCTCTTTCATTCCTAAGATTGATAATGTCTTTTTTTTTTTGTCAGTCTTTCTAGAGGTTTAATCAATATTTATTACTTTCTTCATTCTGCTTGCTTTGGGTTTAGTTTGCTTTTTTCCTAGTGTCTTAAAATGGAAGCTTAGAATATTGATTTGAGAACTTTTTTGTTATTTAATAAAAGCAGTTGATATTATAAATTGCTCTCTAAACACTGGTTTAGCTGCATTCCACACATTGATATTTTCATTTTTGTTCAGTTTAAAATATTTTCTATTTTATTTTGAGAATTCACATTAGAGGCATTAATTATTTATAAGTGTGTTGTTTAATTTCTGAATGTTTGGAGATTTTCCTGCTGTTATTGATTTCTAGTTTACGGTCAGAGAACATACTCTCTGATTTCAGTGCTTTTAAATTTGTTAGGTTTAAGACCAGGATACAGTCTGTCTTGGTAAATGTTCCACATGCACTTAAAAAGAATGCTTATTTTTGTTTTCTTATGTCAGTTAGATCTAGTTAGTTGTTGACATTAAGTTCATCTACATCTTTGGTAATTTTTTTTTTAGTATTAATGATTCTATAGATTACTGAGAGAAGAGTGTTTACTCTCCAACTATAATTGAAGCTGTTTTTCTTTTCAATGCTATCATGTATTTTTAAGCTCTGATATTAGGTGCTTATGTATTTAGAATCATAATATTATCTTGGTGACTTTGATTCTTTTACCATTGTAGAATGTCTGTTTTTTTTTTTTCTTTTTCTTTCTTTTTTGAGACAGGATCTCTGTTGCCTGGGCTAGAGTGTAGTGTTATCATCATAGCTCATTGTAACTCAAACTCCTGGGCTCAAGCAATCCTTCTGCCTCAGCTTCCTGAGTAGCTGGGATTACAGGCATGTGCCACAACACTCGACTAATTTTTCTATCTTTTGTAGAGATGACAGGTCAGGCAGGTCTTGAACTCCTGGCCTCAAGTAATCCTCCTACCTTGGATTCATAGAGTGCTAGGATTACAGGCATGAGCCACCTCACCCCACTGAATGTCCCTCTTTATCCTTGGTAATTTTGATTCCTCTTAAGTCTACTTTGTTGAACTAATATAAAAATTGCCTTATCTTTTAATTTATCTTACCTGAGGTTTACTGTTTTTGGTTTATGAAAAAATTATAGTTTCACAAATAACAATAACACATTTTATCAAAATTACTCTTAGTGTAGAGAAAATAAATTCTCTGAGTGTTGTTATTCTTCTGTGATCATGATTTAAGCACTGAAGTTAATGTGGCCAGAATATTTTGAAATTATACAAACAGTTTCATGAGTCCAGTCAATCTTTTGTGAGGTAATGTACAGAGTGGTTGAGAAAACAAGCAGCCTCTGGAGTCAGATTTGACTGCTACCTCCAAGTACCAGGTATGTGACCAGGGGCAAATCATTTTACTTCCTTGTGTCATCTGTAAATTGGGATAACCTTACTCAGTTTAAGGATAACATGAGGTGACTCATAATTCATATAAAACATTTAGCAACAGTACCTAACAGTAAAAACTATCATTGCTAGCCACAAATGTATGATCAGAAATATCTATTGTTTTTAGATAGTATGTCTCATAATTGGAAATACATATAAAGTTCAGATACCTTTTTAAAAAATAACACTGTGAAAAGGGGTTATTAAGTCTAATCAGAGTCAAGTGCAAAATGAGGCTTCTTTTATAGCAGTTTTTGTTTCCTAAGTAATTCCTTCCAATGTCTATTTTTAAAGATGTCTTATTAGTTTAATTAAACATGAACAGTTCAAAACCATTATGTTAGTTGTTTCAGTTCCAATAATAATTACCAATTGATCCAATGAGGCCAACGTAATAGTTGGCAATTACTGTCATTAGCAACCATTATTGCTGGAATGTTGTTTAGGTAAGAGGGTTTGTACAAAACTTCAGGAGAGCTGAATCTAAGAATAAATATGTATTAAGGATAGCATCCATAGCAGTGATGAATCTAGTTGACAATATGATTAATAATGCATAAAGACCAACTTTTTAATGCAAATTAAACATATTTGTCATCATCTTGTTTCTATTTTAAAACTGTCAAATAGGTAATAGCCTAGATAGACATATTGTTAAGAGATTTTATTTCTGCTACCATACATGTAACTGTAGTGTTAACTTTAAATATACTAAGTAGAGAGTTTTTTAATCATGGTTTGTTATCACACTGTTAATAATAAAATCAGAAGAGAAACAAAACCACCCAGCAAAAGATTGCATTTGAATAATTTTATTGAAAGGTATATCCCTTAGTTCCAAAACATAATGGTAGTTGGTTAGGTTACCTCTGCCAACTCAAAATTAACACTGAAATATTCAAAATATTGAACTATATCAGCCTTTTGGGAAAAATGAAACAGCCATAAAACATGCTTTACAAAAGTTAAGGATAAGATATACTAGGATTCTTTGGTTTATTTTTCAGTGTTTGTGTATCTATAACATGATTTCAAAATTGGTTAACAGCCATTCTGATTGCACTCAGGCTACATATTGCACTGAGTAACCATCCACAATACTTAAATACTGTAGTTCTCCTTATATTCATTGACTGACACAGAGAATCCTGAACACTACCTCAGCCACCTCATAATTATGAAGGTGCCTGCTCATTTTTTTTTTTTAAGACTTTGTTTTGGCACAGTAAGGGCATTAGTGAAAGTATATTCTCTTCCTTTTAAATAAAATTCTAAATTAGAAGCAGTGACAATTTTATAAAAACAGTCATTTGTAAAAACTTCTGGAGTGTTAAATCTAGCCTGAATTTACTTTAGTGTGATAAAGTAAGTTTTCAAAGTGATAATTTATTTTGAGTTACTAAGACAATAGAAACTAATTTTATCAATGGGCTAGATTGAGGCAGTAGGTTCTGTATAAAAATTTTCATCATGGATACAAACATCACCTGTTTTCTAGAAAAAATATTAAAGATAATTTAATGAATATGCCAAATTTACTACATCTGTATTTTTGCTTTATATTAAATGCCCTAAAATTTAAATGTAATTTCCATATTGCAATAAAAGTCCACATCTCTAGATTATCTATTACTTGCATTATGGGTGCCAAGAAACCATTTACACTGTCCAGAATATTGACCCTTATGCCTTAAAAGTGCATTTGTGAAATGTTGGTTTTGATATAAACCTCACATTTTAAAATTTAACATTTAAATTAAGTAGGTTACCATTTTCAACACCAACTAAATACAACACATTGATCCAATATAGAAAGTTAGATCAATGTTAGAAATGAAGATTCACAGTTTACCTTCCCAGGCTTGTCATTAGCATTTCACATTTATGTTTTTAGCTTTGATCTGAAAGCTTCACAGATGAATTCAACTCTTAACATAATTTCACTACAGCATAATATTAATTAGGCAGCCTTCCCACATCTGAGAATATCATGCTAATCTAGCTGTGATGTTTTAAGGCTTCATAGCTTAAATCCATTGTAACATTATGGAAGCCACAGATCAGGGTTGTGGAGAAAGGCTTCAGAGAAGAGTTTTTTGTTGCTGTAATTAATCCTATTTAAATAAACCCCAACTTATCAGAAGTCTGCCTAAATATTAGTAACAAAATTGAACTGTCCATATCTTAACATTCATAATCATATATAGATGTGTTAAATGTTAAAATTTAGTTTTGAGTAGGAAAAGATCAATCATCATTGTGAATTAACCTGAGATGGCAAGAGTGTATATCACATATGCAGCAACCAAGTTCACATTTTTATGCATATAACTACTTTCTAGTAGTCCAGCTTCTACAGCAATGACACGTAACTATAGTGTTGACACCCCCTGGCAGTTTCCAGACACCCAATGTAGGTATCATCTACCATATGTTACTTTTTAAGTACATACTGATTTTGTTTATAAGATAACAGTCTCAAATTAGTTCATATATGGTTCAAACTTTTGGTCCTGTTGTCCTAGTTGGCTTGCGTAGCTTTAAATGAGCCAGAGCTTCGGTTTACATACAATAAGATGATATACAATAAAAAAGAAACCAAAAAAACCCACTAGTGCTACTTTTAAAATTCAGGCTATTAAGGAGGATGTTTTCTAAGCTGAAAATTTAATGAAATGACTAACACATCAGAGGTTGCATAATTCCTTACTCTTAAAGTGTTGTACCTTGTATGTAATAAACTTCAAATATTAGCTGACTACATCAGTGAAGTCATTTTCCCCTTTGCTATTCCAACTCCATTTTGTTTACTTTGAAATATTAAAGTTAATATTTTAATTCTTCAATTGTGGCACAAAATTATAGCATTAGAAAATTTTCTCTATCTAGAGAATAACAGTGAACCAAATTTACCAATTAGGGAACCATTTCAGGAATTGTTGGGAGGTGACTTATTCTGTAGTAACTATGCTTTAATTGCCGTGCAGTACGCCCAGAAACAATCCATTTCAACTTCTGAACATTTGGTTTGGAACACTTGTTTGATGAATATTCAGTTAAGCACTTGGATACGAGCTCTTGCCAGAAGGTCAAATCTCTGCCATTTATCTGTACATAAATGTGTAAGAATTATTGCTCAATTAAAACAAAAGTCCCAAAAAAGACAAAAATAAAGAACAAAAGGAAAAACAAAAGTCCTACCATATTAAACTATAGTAATAAAAGCAAATCTATTAACATGTATTTCCTCATCAAAAAAATTTGAGGATAGCTACTTAAGTTTCAAATAAACATATGACATTCCATTTTACTTCATGAGATAGTACAAGTGGTTTAGTTTCTTTTACAGCTGCTAATAGGATTTAGGCTATGACCTTGACATACCTTGGAATGTTTCTGAAGACATTCTACTCCTTCTGTTAACTCTACACACTTCTGTGCTTGGATCTCCAACGCAATGATAGACAATGCCAACACAGAAGGCTGAAAGAGATAATTTTAAAGTAAATGCCAAATATAAAAATAGGGCTACATAAATAGAATTAATCTTTATAAAATATTTACCTTTGCTTTAGAAAATAATATCCTGCAATGACATGCCTTAAGTTGAGCTTCTAGTCTTTCAAAATTAAGGGTATTTCTCCTTTAAAATGAAAATGGGATTACTTTTATGTAGATAATATTACATTTAGTCAAAAGACATTTTTACAAAAACATTGAAGTCAATTTTTAAAGTGAAGTTTATGCACATTTATTGTAGAAAGTAAATTATTTAAAGTAAAGGAATTCCCCTTTCATCAGAGACATTAACTTCTTAAGCACACCACACGTTAGTTTTAAATGATTTGGGCCAAAAAAAATAAACAGTGTCATGCCAGAAATATCAAGATTTCCTTTTTGTTTTAATAAATTTATTTCTGCATCTACTGAAGGTCCTTTATTCCATAAATTTGTGTTAGATGTTTATCTACTAGCAAGTTGAAATGCACTTTAATCCCAAGGATTAGCCTTCATGAAGCTATTGACACCTGAAAATTTTCCCACTTCTGTTAGTAAAGTTAAAGAAGCCACAGATGTCATTTTACTTATTTTGATTAGAATTCTATGAAGATATTGCTTTTATGCAATCTCTATACAATACCATTCTGATTTCCAAATCTCTTTTGTTGAAAACAAAGGTCACATACCTTTCAAATGGCAAGGTCTCTTGAATGAGTGAATAATAGAGTTGCAGAAATTGAAAGGCAGTTGTAGCTTTGACTTTCCAACACACCTTCTCCAACACAATCTTTTCCATTCTCATCAAGTCTGACACCGTGAACCTATACTGACTTATTCGGATCAAGTCAGTTGCCAATGGGACATTCCTTTCCTCTTCTACTGATTTTACAGCCAAATAGAAGCAGCTTAGCCCAACACACCCAAGGTGCTTGGGCTGCACCTAACAAAACAAAACATCCCCGATAAGCCCATGTCTCCACCTTATTTCAATTAACATTATTGAAACAAAGGACAATCTAGAGCTCAGACCCAGCATTATGAAAATGTATCTTTCGGGTGTATTTCTCAGCTGTGATGGACTTAGTAAGATCCACCCATACCTCAATTATAGCTTGTTAACCCTAGGCACCCCACTTGGAACCGATTTTTGACTAACTGGACTAACTTTCAGTATAATGTTCGGCTTAGCATAGACACATTCTTAACTGGTTTTCTTTTTTCTTTTTTTTTTTTTTTATCATTGCAGAACTGTAAGTAAGTATTGTGCTCTAGTTGGACCAAATAAGTTAACTGGTCAGTGACTTAGGTGAGGGCTAAAACACTTTATAGCTTATTCACAAACTTTCTTTCCAGGATGTTATATTTTTCCAGGCTGTTTTCTTTGTAGTAACATATATAAAACAGTTTTTAAATACTACAGCACATACTGTTTGCCTGAAAAGTTCTATCCACTGCCAATCTTTTTCATTTATTTATCATTTTATGAATGTCTATAGTCTGAGACACAGTCAAAATTCTATCCAATCTTTAAGTTCTAGGTCAAATAAAACTTCAGGAAGCATTTGGCTGGGCGAGGTGGCTCACGCCTACAATCCTAGCACTCTGGGAGGCTGAGGCAGGAGGATTGTTTGAGATCAGGAGTTCCAGACCAACCTGAACAAGAGGGAGACTAAGTCTCTACTTAAAATAGAAAAAATTAGCAGGGCATGACCGTGTGTGCCTGTAGTCCCAGCTACTCCTGAGGCTGAGGCAGGAGGATTGCTTGAGCCCAGGAGTTTGACGTTGCAGGGGGCTAGCATGTCACTACTGCATGCTAGGCAGAATGACAGAGCCAGACTCTCTATTTCAAAAAAAATAAAAAGCTTTTTATTAATATCTGTGCTCTTCTCAACCCTTTAGTAGTATATTTATGCCTCTTTCAAGGCATGACGTTTTCTTTAAAGGCATAATTTTTCTTACTATGACTTGTACTATATGATTGCTGTAAGTGCAACCATCTTATTCCCACATTAAGACTGGATTATACTTGAAGGACAGCTGTATTAATTTGTGCAACATTTACAGATTGAAAGGTAGTACCTACACATGTTAAATGTCTTAAAGAGTTGTTTAATCAGTCTGTTGCACAGGTGTCTAGAGCCATTCAACAAATACTGAGTTCCTTTTGTATGTGATGCATTGTGTTAGGTACTTAGTACTAAAATATGAGTTTCATTCTAATTGTCACATTATCTCATTTTCCTCCAGAGACTATGGGTGTACAGAGAAGGCAGATGAACTTTTTTGTGTGTGTGTGAGACAGTCTTACTCTCTTGCCTTGCCTTAGGCTACAGTGCTGTGGCGTCTGCCTAGCTCACAGCAACCTCCAACTCCTGGGCTGAAACAATCCTACTGCCTTAGCCTCCCGAGTAGCTGGGACTACAGGCACATACCACCATGCTGGCTAATTTTTTCTATTTTTAGTTGTTTTGGCTAATTTCTTTCTATTTGTAGTACAGACGGGGGTCTCACTCTTGCTCAGGCTGGTCTTGGAACTCTTGAGCTCAAGTAATCCTCCCGCCTCAGCCTCCCAGAGTGCTAGGATTACAGGCATGAGCCACCAGCTGGCCAAGATGAACTTTTAACAGTTAAGCTATGAAAGCTTATGAAAGTCTTGTTTATCTAGTACAGGGAAATAATTGCTCCTCCTTCTGAAGATACTCTCATCTCTAGTGCATGTACACTGAAGCTGGAATTGCCAAGTATAAGCAAGGCTTACCTAAGCCTAAGGCTAACACAATTAGAATTATATATATGGACAGAGATTAAGAAATATATCCTAATTCTTAACTACAATCTAGCATTCTAACTCTAATAAATTTCTTCTTTTTTTTTTTTTTTTGAGACAGAGTCTCGCTTTGTTGTCCAGGCTAGAGTGAGTGCCGTGGCGTCAGCCTAGCTCACAGCAACCTCAAACTCCTGGGCTCGAGTGATCCTTCTGCCTCAGCCTCCCGAGTAGCTGGGACTACAGGCATGCGCCACCATGCCCGGCTAATTTTTTTTTATATATATATCAGTTGGCCAATTAATTTCTTTCTATTTATAGTAGAGACGGGGTCTCGCTCTTGCTCAGGCTGGTTTTGAACTCCTGACCTTGAGCAATCCGCCCGCCTCGGCCTCCCAAGAGCTAGGATTACAGGCGTGAGCCACAGCGCCCGGCCAATTTCTTCTTTTTTTGAGACAGAGTCTCGTTTTGTTGCCCAGGCTAGAGTGAGTGCCGTGGCATCAGCCTAGCTCACAGCAACCTCAAACTCCTGGGTTCAAGCAATCCTTCTGCCTCAGCCTCACAAGAAGCTGGGACTACAGGCATGTGCCACCATGCCCAGCTAATTTTTTCTATATATATTAGTTGGCCAGTTAATTTCTTTCTATTTATAGTAGAGAGGGGTCTTGCTCTTGCTCAGGCTGGTTTCGAACTCCTGACCTCGGGCAATCCGCCCACCTCAGCCTCCAAGAGTGCTAGGATTACAGGTGTGAGCCACCACACCTGGCATTATAATAAATTTCTTTAAATCTAAAAACACCAGTAAATTAATGGATATATCTGACCTAACAAGAAGTTTTTAAAAACAACAGCTAACTTTCCTGCAGGGAGACTCTGAATTAATTATTTGATATTACACTAGTTTTCATTTCAAAACTTAAGTCTAATAAGTGATGTATTAAAACAAATGATTCCTTGATTACAATAAGGAAGTATATTAATGCTATAGTACACAAAATTACCATAATCTTTTGGCTCCTTGCTGAAAATAAAAAAGGTCAAGTTTATGAGTACTAGCCAAAAGCTGATAATTCCATCTCCAAAACACAGTTAGCAAAATTATAAAATACTCAGGTTAATGTAGCCATAAACATACCTTCATTTTAGACAGGAATCTGTCCAGTAAATTCACAGCTAGAGAAAATGTCTCCGTGTCGAAGCCAAAGAACTGAGTTAGACTAAGAAGATCTTTTACTTCAAAGTCCCTTAGTCTGGCAGTCATTCTGAGGCCATTATCGTGGGCAGACTCAATTACTCTCAAGCCGCAGACCTTTGGCTGACATCTAGACTCCTGTTCCAACAGGGCATTCAGCTGGTGTAGCAGATTCTGAGAGTCAGTTGTTGTCAGTACCTCTATCATCTATATATAGAACAAAGCCCAGAAAGGAGTGTAAGAGTAGTCCTTCCTACTTTCCTTGGCCATCTTTTATTGGGTCAAGAAGTGCTTTATAATACAAGTCTACTTTCCTCCATGGTGGCTACAGAATCTAAGTCATTGCAAAGTGCTGTTATTTCTTTCCCTTCTACAAGTTGGAAACATCTTAAACTGTGAGTTCCTAGAGAATAGGAACCATGCCTTTAAAAAAAATGCAAATCATCAAGAAATAGTTGTTTAATTTATTCAGTATTAATAAGTAACCACGAATAGACACTGTAAGACAGGATACCAAAACTTTGCAATCAGATGGTAGTATGTATTCTGCCATACATTAACAATGTGAACTGTTGAGGTCACTTAATTTTACTTAGTTCTTCATCTTTAAAGAGGGGATAAGGTAATACCTACCTCGTAGATTTGTGTGGGTTAAATGAAATCACACAAAGAACTTAGCACGTATAATAGGTACTTAGTAAACATTAACAATAATAATGAGCTTATTTCTACATCTGTAAAATCTTCTCTTTAAATGGCTGTGAAGATTAAACAAGATTTAAGGAATGTAGCACAGTGCTCAATAATAGTTAACTTTTATTGGTGTTAGGAAGGGAAACTTAAAGGGTGCCCTGGAGCACGTAGTGGGGCGGCGCGTGGGATCCTAACCTAGTCTGCAAGATAAACCTGGGAATTTCATTAATTTAAGTGTGCACAGAACAACTATCTATGTGCCGAACACAAGCTAAGCCCTGGGTACACGGGCAGTCCCTCTCCACACCAGTTTAAAGACAAGAAGGCAGAGATCTTCAGACTCGGCCATGTGAGGAACCACTAACTTCAGGGGTCTAATTCTTTCGCCTCCACCTAGTCCCTGGGGCTGGGCGGGCCAGACTCTAAGACACCTCAGGAGGACGGATTCGGCTCCGCCCCTCCAGGCTCAGGCTAGCCTGGGCTTGTGCTCACAGCAGCGGGAGAGTTAATCGAGAAAAAGGGCGCGAGCCAGACCTACCCCTCACCCCGCGCCCCCAGCCCTGCTCCCCACCCGCACCCGGACGTCAACCCCGCAGTCCCAGCTCACCTTGATAGCCACTGCGGCTCCTCAGCGGTAACCACCCTCCCCGGGCCTGCTCTCACCTCACCCCACGATAAGAGAATCGAGAGGCCTACGAGGCGAAGGGACTCGCAGGTAAAATGAGAGAGGCCCGGGGAGGGGGAGCCGTCCTGGGCGGGGATCTCCGCAGCACCGCGGAGACGACCCTACCTTCCTCAGGGTTAGCTCCGAGCCTAAGGGACCGCGTCTGGCCTCCGGAGTAATATATTAGGGGAGGCGGGGCTTTCCCGCGAAGGGAGGCATTTTCGCCGCTAATTGGTGTAGTTATTTTGATGGACGGTATGGGCGGTCCATAAAGGGCTGGTCCGTAGGTTAAAAAAAAGCCTGGCCAATCAGCTCATACTTCCTATTATCCGGCGTCAAATTCCCCGCCCCCTTGAGATCACGCCTCTATCTCTAATCGGCTCTTATTGGAGAATTTCCCAAAGAGTCTTCATTCAACAGGGGGCAGAACTAAATACTCTACGCACCAACCCCAGCCAGGGTCAGGTCAATTTGCTGCCAGCCAGATTGGCCGGGATATCATTCCAGAATGTACTGGGAGTTTTTGTTCCGTGCGGTTTAGTAGTTTGTACAGTGGTTCTGCCTCCTCTTTCTAAAAATACAGTGACTAGTTAAAAAAAAAAAAAAGAGTCAAGCTTTGAGTTTTCATTACAGATAACGAGGTGGTGGATTTTCTATGGTGTGGTTTATTAAATTCCAGAGTGCTCTCGTGAGCTTTGGAAATAATCCTTGCCTTATTTTGTTTTTGTATAGTTTATCAAATAATGGAGTTGGGCTATGTAATATCTTGGTCCTGTACTGATTTTCTGAATTTGCCTTTTTAAGCAAATTTAAAGAGAAAAGCTGGTACAGTTTTCAGTGGCTTAAAATGAAAGATGTGTAGTCGACTGTTAAGAAAAATACATAGGGAAAAATAATTGTAGTAAGTATGGACCTGAGATGAGACTACAGACCCGGAAGCAATATTACTATTTTTGTTAACTGTGATGAACTTAATCTCTATGAGTGTCCCCTACGATAGATTAGTGGGAAAATAATTAGCCCAAGCTCTTCTCTTTCTCTCTTTCCCAGATTTTCACAAGTAAGAAGGATTTATTAGTAAAAAGGCCTGAGAAAGAGTTCTCAGCTCTTATAAATTATACAGTAGTTGGATGTCTCTGTTCTCATGACCTTTCCCTTTTCAGTGCCTCTGGGCTTTGAAAAAGTGTAAATCTGAAAAGTTTGCTGACACCTCTGCTGTTTGCCCTGCCATGTACTTACCTGAGGCAATGTCATAGAACAAAGCCTTAGAATGGGGGCAAAGAGGTGAAGAAAAGGGGGAAGGAAGAACAAAGTAGAATTCGTTTATACTTCAAACTAATACCTCTGCCACATACTCAGGTCTGTTTGAGAAACTGGGGCTCAAATGGGGAAGGGGCCTTAGTCCCTCTTGAAAATAAACTTATGAAATAACTTGGCAATTAATAACATTTAAAATGTAATTCTCTTTCATCAAATAAATAATCTTTTTTTTTTTTTTTTTTTTTTTTATTGAGACAGTGTCTCACTCTTTTGCCAGGGCTACAGTGCAGTGCCGCCAGCCTAGCTCACAGCAACCTCAAATTCCCGGGCTCAAGCAATCCTTCTGCTTCAGCCTCCTGAGTAGCTGGGACTACAGGCACGCACCACCATGCCCGGCTAATTTTTTCTATATATTTTCAGTCGTCCAATTAATTTCTTCCTACTTTTAGTAGAGATGGGATCTCGCTTTTGCTCAGGGTGGTTGGGAACGCCTGGCCTTGAGCAATCCACCCGCCTCGGCCTCCCAGAGTGCTAGGATTACAGGTGTCAGCCACCACGCCCAGCCAATAATCATTTTTTAATACAAGGGGGTGGGGGATGTCAACGAGTTACATAAAATTGTGAATTAGTCCCTGCTCCAAATAATGCCTGCTTGGGCCAAAAAGCAACAGAGCTGTGCTCACTGGGTAATTGTATGTTGGATGTCTCTTCATTGTTCCCTGGGCCATTAGTCAAAGGGCAACTTAGAAACAATTTCTTGATGACAAAAAAAAGTAATCTTATTAAAAAATACTTTTTGGTATAATGTGTGGGTTTGTTTACAAATGTACATGTTTCCCTTTTTGGCTTTTTTGTTCCTAAAATTAGGAATATATATGCACAATTTACAAAAACAACTTAAAAATCATAAAATCTTTTTTTTTTTTTTTTTTGAGACAGAGTCTTGCTCTGTTGCCTGGGCTAGAGTGCTGTGGTGTTAGCCTAGCTCACAGCAACCTCAAACTCCTGGGCTCAAGTAATCCTTCTGCCTCAGCCTCCTGAAGTAACTGGGACTACAAGTATGTGCCACCATATATTTTTATTTGTACATATATTTTTATTTGTACAGCTAATTTCTTTCTATTTTTAGTAGAGTTGGGGTCTCACTCTTCCTCAAGCTGGTCTTAAACTCCTGACCTTGAATGATCCTCCCGCCTCGGCCTCCCAGAGTGCTAGGATTACAGGTGTGAGCCACCATGCCCAGCTTGAGAACCATAAAATCTTTATGGCAATGAAAAGCATGCACAAGTTTACTAATGTTTATGTAAACTAAGAATAAAATCTTAAGCCCCCAACCACTGAATGGATCCCCTCTAGGCCAAGGGTACCCCAGAGAAATCTTAAAAAACTGAGTTCCTAGACATGACAGGATAAGAGCTTAGACATGCCGTATTATACCACCTCCTTTTTATGGTTTAGAGCAGTGGTCCCCAACATTTTTGGCACCAGGGACCAGTTTCATGGAAGACAATTTTTCCATGGGATGGGGGGTGGGGAGGAAGCTCAGGCAGTGATGCCAGTGATGGGGAGTGGTGTAAATACAGATGAAACTTAGCTCACCTCCTGCTATGCAGCACCCCTCCTCCACCCCCTTTCCTAAGTTTCATGGAAGATAATTTTTCTTTTACAAGGGTTGGGGAAGGGAGGTGGGAAGGGTGGGTGTGGAGCTCTATGGGACCTAACAGGCCACTGGTACCGGACTGGTACCAATCTGGCCTGGGGGTTGGGGACCACAGGTTTAGATACAACTGACCAGCATTAATGTTAAAATGGAGGTTATGAGACTAGCAGAACAGATTCTGTGTGACAATAAGATGGTAAATTCTAAGCAGGATCTAATGACATACCAGGCAAGGGTTAAGTCATACAAGCCTACACTTAAAGAATAAACTATGTTCTAACTGCCACAAGGTTTTCCTTTTTCTCTAGCAGCTAAACAAGTACTGGCCGCAAGATAAGCAATATTAAAACAATTTGCCACTCATCCACCCCCAGAAACTGTCCCCCACCTCCTGTTCCACAAGCCACAACTACAGCTTTGATAGGACAAGAGACTGATTTCAGTAACTTTCTCTTGATAAGGAGACTACTGACCATGGACTGACTGTTTCTGGTAGGTTTTACAGAGGCTGCTCACTTGACTGCCTTTTGTCCTAAAAAAATCTTTTGATGGATAGGGTCTAATTGTAATACATTTAATTGTTAAGTCACCACTCCAAGGTAAACATGGGTGTTCTATAACATGCATGCTTGTTCAATATGCATGTGTCAGGATGACCTTCATGAATATTCATAGATCCTCCTGTAACTTCTTGAATATGAATACTTGGCCAACCTGTTCAGCTTAAATTCTGTTTTAGGCCCCCCTTCCTCAGAATGCCTGTCTCTGGTCTTTGCCAGAGGCTGCTATACTTCTCAGCCTGTCAGAATGGCCACCTTGCAGGCTATAACCCTTAACAAGAAATAAAGTCGCATTCCAAAATTTATAGATCTTGTGATTTCTAAATTGATATTTATTGGAGACATAATATATGCCAGTGGAGAACAAAGTAGACTGGTCCCCATCCTTGTAGAATGTGTAGTCTTGTGGACAATATAAACAATAGATTTTGGAATAAAATAAACTTATTTCCATACTCAGGAATGGCTATTAACTAGTTATGTGACTTTCAGACAGTTATTTAATCACATTGAATTTCCATTTTCTTTTCTCAAAAATAGGAAGTAAAAATCCCTTCCTTATAGTGTTATTGAGAGGATTACATAATGAAAAATACATAAAGAGATAGGCATTATCCCCAGAAGAAAGTATATTACTTGATGAAGGGTAGCCTTTATTATTAAATTACTGACATTTCTTTTTAAATGTGTTGCTTAAACATACATTGTGTTTTCTTCTTGTTGTCAGACTTAGTCTTCTATTTTCAGTCTAAAAACAGAATAAGAGTATAAGAATTGTTTATCTAACACTAATGAAAGCATCTAAATTATATGTATTAATTGCTATACCTTATTTATACTTGAAATTTTTACCTGAGGGATTTAGGTAATATATCGTTATTTATGTAATAAAAATTATTTTCTCTCATGTTAGGATCTTGTTTTTAATTTTTACTAAAATCTCAAGTTTTTTACATAAAATTATTTCACTAGCACTGAAGAAACATTACTTAAATATAAATCAAGTCAAATGGACATTCTTTGCCTTTTCTTCTCCTCCTCATCCCACTACCATTTTTATTCTATAATATTAGAATATAGATCATCATTTAAATAATTTAAAAGTCCTAATTATAATAGCAAAATATGGAAATGAAACACAATTATCTACTTTTATGAAAGAAAGAAAATGAAGCCTTCATTCATATGTGATTTTGTTTTTAAAGAAGTATGGATTTAGTCACAGTTCCTATTACAATCTTTTCAAATGACTGACTTTTAGGCTCAATGATAGTCAACTCCTGTCTTCATACTTTCTTCTCCATCAACAGTTATGTGCAACAAGAACCAATGCTCAGCATACTGGCCCTGAGGCAGGACAAGAATCCAGGTGGTAACAGGAAGATTTGATTATATTCTCTACAATGATCGTAGACTGTAGAAGTGCCTTTGAGCAACACAGACTCTAACAAGCAAGTACAACAGTGGCGGTGTGTCAAATGCTCTCCTGACTCAGGGAGATTCCTAATTGGTTCTGTTTGCTTGGAGATGGAGAAGGCTATGCCTTTCCTCACACGCAGTGTCCAAGCATTTTACCCTCTTTTCAGGTTCCCTGACAAATGTCCAGAACTTTTGGATATAGGCTTGTCCATCTATGATGAGGGCCAAGGCAGTGAGGGTCAGACAGAGCTCAGCTGAGTCCCTTCCCCTCTACTTTCTGA